CAGAGCGTGGAAACTTTTCCTCCTAACACTGCGCATGCTGCTGGCGCGTCCGGACCGCCAAGGCGCGCAGGGGCGGGATGAGCTCATCTCGCGAGCGCGCGCTTTTCAACGTGGCGACTGGGTGCCCTTGTTGGACGCAACGCACCACAAGGTCAACCATGCCAGGGGAGCAGCCGCGCAAGACGCGGAAACCGTAGCAGAGCGGAGGCGTGCTCAGGCTTGCGCCAAGGTCCGGCTCGGAGAGTTGTCGCGCGCCCGCCATATCCTCACAGCCGCCGAGCTTGCCCCAGGCAGTGAGGCGACGTGGCGAGCGCCGTCGCAGCCTCGCACACCCATCCCCCGACCTCTTGGAGTCGCGGGCGGGATCTGATGTTGGCCTCGGACCGACCTCCATTGCTGCGGCCCTGCGGGACGCAAAGCGGGGCGGAGCGGCAGGCCTTTCAGGCATGAGGGCGGAGCATCTCAAGCTCTTGTTGCAAGACGTCCCGGCTCTCGAACTTCTTGCATATGCATCAACGCGGCTGGGCAACGCGCAGGTGCCAGCAGATATCGCCGCCGGCCTTGCCTTGGCGCGCCTGACTGCGCTGCAAAAACCTGGAGGAGGGGTGCGCGGCATCGCGACAGGCGACGTGTTCCGCCGCCCCGTGTCACGCGCTTTGGCGAAGGGATGGGCTGACACCTTCAACAACGCTACGCGCCCATACCAGTTCGCGTTGCAGGCGCGGGCTGGCACCGATGCGCTGGCGGCCCATGTGCGTGCTGCGCTGGAGTTGCAGCCAGACGCCGTGCTGGTGTCCCTGGATGGGCGCAGCGCATATGATAGCATGTCCCGGGCGGCTTTCCTGCGCGAGCTGCAATCTTGCGCGCCCGAGTTGCTCCCTTTCGTACGCCTGTTTTATGGCAGCACGTCTACATATTGTTGGTGGGACGCAAATGGGCGCTGCAGGGACGTGGCCCAGGGCGAAGGTTGCGAGCAGGGCGACCCGCTGGCTCCAGCTCTTTTCGCGTTGGGGCAGCACCGTGAACTGTGCAACGCGGCCTCAACCCTCCATCCAGCCGACAGCCTTGTGGCTTTTCTGGATGACCTTTACGTCATTACGGCTCGGGAGCGGGCGCGAGAGAGTCGGGACACGGTGGTCGGGATGGTGGAGCGCGACTGTGGCATAGCCTCGAACATTGGCAAAATGCGAGTTTACAGCCACAGTGAGGGCCCGCCGCCGCCAGGCATAGCCGCGCTAGGCCCTGATGTGTGGCGCGGCGACAAGCCTTTGCCAGGGGCGCGCATTTGGCCGTGTTCTAGGTGACGCGGTCGCAGTGCGGTGTACCTACCATCTTAAGGCGTATGCCATTGCCAGGGGCGCTAAGCGTCGTCAAGAGTTGGTTGATGTTATGGCCGGCAGAGCTATGTTGGAAGTTGAGTTGTTGGGTGTGTCCACCATGTTTCGAAAGCGTGAGCACAGTGACAAAGAGTTGCTATGCGCTGAGGCTTGCTTGCGTACCATCCAGTTGCTTTCTTGTGTTCGGTTGCCGTTTGCGAGGTACCTCAACGCTGCGGTTAGCAATGGATCTCTTGTTGGCCAACCCTGCAGCCGAGCAAAGGCATTTGGGCCGCTGTCAATGTTGGTTTTCGTCGCATGAGGTCGGCCGCTCCTTGGTTGCGTGGCGCTTTGTTTGGCAGCTCCATGCATTTTGATGTTTTGTTTGCCGCTCGGTTGGTGGGTTGTTTTGCCATGGCGCGTATGAAAGGTGTGCTTGTTTGGGTTCTTGTTAGTGGGTCGCCGTCGCATGTGCTTGATACCTGGCTTCGTCGCAGAGGTTGGACAAGGGACAGACCTTGGGTGTGGGGTCAGAGGTTGACTGGCGAGTCCATCAATTTGAGTCACCGCAGAGTCCTTACCGGTCGTCTTCAACATGCCGTGCGTAATGCTTGGCGTGCTTGGTGTTTGTTGCGGCATGCTGCCACGAACAGACGTGATGTTGATCATGTTGATTGTTTTGTTGGTGGTCGGTTGCGTGTTGGGTATTTTCGCCGCATTGATTGGGAGAGCATTCGTAAATGGGACTTTACTTGGCCTCAAGCTCGTACCATTTGTTGCGGTGCTGCTTGGTCGCTTGGTTGCCGGTCGTATCGCTCATCGTCCTTCTTTGGCTTGCATCTGGGACGGGTGCGATGAGGTTGGCACGTTCGATCATATTGCTTGGACGTGCCCACGTAGGCCCGATGTTCATTCTGTTGCTGCGTGCCCTGCCCTGGCTTTGTCCGCTAGGTGGGGTTGGGTTGTGAAAGGGGCAGGCACGGATTACGGTGCGCTTCACCGCTGGTTGGAAACTGTCCAGAGTCGCTTGTGGGTTGTTTTCCATCAGCAGTTGGGTTGTTGTTCTCCTCTAGCCGTGGCTGCCTTCCCGCCTGGGTTTTGGTTTTTGTTGCTTTTCTACCTTTCGGTTGCCAGCTATGTCACTGAGAACCTCTTGAAGTTCTTTGCCTGTGCTTTGCCCGTTTGGGGGTATTTGCACCTCAAAATTATACAGTGCGGTGTAGTTGCTGTGTACTGGCGCGGTGGGATTGCCGTGGTGTATGTGCGCGGTGTAGATGTCCTGGTCCTGGTGTATGTGAGCGGTGTAGGTGCTGTGGGGTACTTGGTGCGGCATACGCGAGCGCTGTGGTGTTAGGGGTCGTCAATTCCCAGCATAATTCTCAGGCATGCTCCACGCGCCGGCGCTCCCACCCGCCGAGAAAGCGAAAAGGTCGTCGATTCCGAGCAGAATTCTCTAGCCGCTCCAAGCGCCAGTGTTGGAAGAATGTTTTTTTTGGAATCCTCAATCTGCAGCCCGGGCCGTAACTGGATCCCATCGCCCCCGGTTAGATCCAGCCAGGGTGTGGGGTGAAAATCGAACTTCACAAGTAAACACAACGTCAAACCCGTTCCCAACCAACCAAACATGAACTCCCAGAGTGAACCCCCAACATTGATTGTGGAAATTCTCGCCCAAAATCAGTAGATCTCATTGTGCTGGCCATGATTACATGCAGACGTGGGCTGGGGGGTTCCCAATGGTTGGTTTCACATTTTATCAGCTTTCAAGATTTCCCAGCACGTTTTGAAAATTTCCATCCGTTCATCATTTTCATCAATTTTACACCATATGATCAGTATTCGTCATTAATTTTTTTAAAATGTTTTTCCGCATGCTACATGATGTTTCACCATGCTTCGTCACACTTCTACAAATTTCACCATAATCATTCAATCACTATTTTAGTATTTTGTTCATTCATCATTTCTCTCATTTTCGTCGGTTCTCGGCATTCTTCATCAGTATCCGTCATGAGACCTTTCAAAAACTACGACAACTAGAAAGATCACAACCCTGACCCCTGCGACACGTGTGGCTTGTTTGAAGTCCCAAAGCATCAACAGTTGCGAGAATCGCCTTCCCTACCCCGCAGTCTTGTGACTGGTAATACTTTCTGAAGACGTGCGAAGATCCAACAGCCGATGCGAGGTTCACGACCCCGACCTCTGCGATCTCCTGTGACTGTCAACTTTTGGCAAAGTGTTAATTTGTTCCTGAATGCAATTTGGAAGGTTTTCATTTTCAAGCATGAATTTCGTTTGATTATGTGATTCCGATTTTGTTTTTTGATGGTTGACCTTATTCTTGGACTACAGCGACTGCTTGAACATGCCGGTCGGTGCCCGGCTGATGCAGCAGCGGATGTGCCTGTCCAGGCAAGAATCATTATTGAAGTTTGTATGGAGGTGCTAAAATTTCCAAAGCCCCTTGTAAGGCTTCATAACGCGGTGCAAGGCCAAGAAAAGTCAAGCAACATTGCAGCCCCGATTTTCACAACGTTTGTCACCATCGGCATGTTTGAGACGCGACCAGGATTTGAGAGTTCTCGAAGATAGCGACCCTGTCCCAATGAGAATGTAAATTTTCCAGAATAGGCGACGGTTACAAAGCTGCAACATGGGCACACCAGACCCTTCCAGGATGACACTCCCCCAGGATTGCGGCTGATGTGTATGTATCATTGCCAAATAAAGATATTCTGCAAAATGCGGCCGTGCCCTTGCCGGCTTGACCATCGCATTACAGACACCCGACAAGCATTTACAACATGCGAAGGTACTTATGCGAGTTGTGCGTGTGTGTGATTGATATTGAGACTGGCATGCTTCGGGCTTGCTGCTCGAGGTTCGAGCGAGCCAAACAAAACGCCACCACCCCCATCAAGAAAGTGCCAAACATTCGCCTCGTAAATGCCGAGCTTTTGCTTCACAATAGGCACGCTCAGGAAAGTCCCGAAGTTTGTTCAGACGTCTGAATTTTTAAAGTTGAAGTTGCCAATTCGTCCACCTGGAGCCCCAAAACCCTGAGGTGAAGCAGAAGGGTGTGAGTTTTTGTTGCATTCCTTTTCGGACGGAGCCGCTCCGAAGCCTGGAAATTCCTGACAGGAGGGTTCCTCAGTTCCTGGAGCTCGAGTGGGCTGCAACGAAAGGGGTCGAGCGGGTAAAGGCCTACGGCCTGGGACTCGACGGATAACATCACTATTAAGAAGATGCTGGTGCTGGTGCACCTTAATCGGAGTGGTAAATCATCGGAAATCCTCTTTTTCAGGCCTTTAACAATGGAATCTTCCTTGCCAACCCCAGAAAACGCGATGTGCTGATCGATGCCGATGGTACTTGTCAACTATTTTTGTCCCTCTGTGCTGGTCATGATGGTATTGCAGCGGTCACGCTCAAATACACAAATGGCTGGTAAGTTGTGCTGTAGCATTCAAGAAACATGCGCCGATCAACGAAAAACGTAATCAACTAGTCGGTGAGCCGGACTTCCACTAGTCACTAGTGGTCGTGGTAACTGTGAGGGCACTTCCCGCTATGCGGTAACTACCGTAGCTCTTGCCAGACATGCGTCACACACGCATAAACAGAGACATGCTCTGCTTCAGCGGCCATTTTTAATCAAAGAGGGCGGGAGCAGCAGTGAAGATGGTGCGCAAGGAGCCGCGAGCAACCAAGGAGAAGCTGACCTCAGGATCCATGCGCCTCGAAGCCTTCAAACAGACCAGGCTCTGCAAATTCCACGTGGCTGGAAATTGTGTCCGTGGAACTTCATGCAATTTTGCCCACAGCATTGACCAGATTCGTGATCAGCCGGACTTTTCCAAGACACGCCTGTGCGCAGATTATTTGCAGTCACAGTGGTGCCGGGATGGGCAGTACTGCAAATTCGCGCATGGAGAGCATGAACTGCGTCCACATCCATCGGTCAAACACAAGGACCAGAAGTCCAAAACCCAACCTGAGGAGAAACCCTTGGCATGGTATGCAGATGACGTCAATGAGGGGTGCGAGGGATGGTACTTCATTCCTGATGGCATGGATGCGATGATGTATCCGTGGTATCCTGGCTACCCCCTCATGGATTACCCCCTCGTTCATGATGAGTATGGATGGGATACGACAAGCCAGCAAAGCACGGACTGGGCTGAGTGGAACACCACCTCCAGCAACAATAGCACTATTTGCATGGAGAGCCCCATCGAGAGCCCGATCGAGAGCCCGGTCCAAAGCAGCTTGGCGAGAGTTGTGCAGTTTGGAAGGTCTGCGTTGCTTTTGAGCTTCAGAGCTTCAGGTCCCGAGGTGGTAGTGCCTTCTCTTCCTGATGAGCCTCTCCTACTGGATGCCTTTTGTACAACAACCCAGTTCCAAGATGAGTCGCCGCAGTCGCTGGGCTGCTTTCAGTGGACTCTTTGGGAAGCTGATAGGGCAGTTACTGTTTTGCAGGTGCCCTCGATTGTTGACAGACAACCTAAGCGAAGGGCATTGCACAATCTCTTCCTTGAGTTTACCCGGGCATTGCAAATTCCCAGGCTCAAAGTCAAGAACACATTCTTGCACATTGACATTGAAGACGACGACTGTGACCTGGAGGCCTCGGGGTTGTGTGAGTCGCAGTGGGTTTTGTAGCTTTTTGGAGTTTTTGGCTCCCAGGAGACGCCACCGGCTTCCGCTTCGCTGCGACGCTCCCCGAGTGCCCCCGGTCGCCTGATGGCGCTGTTCTTGGGTTGCTTGGAGCAATGAGGGTAGACACATCGCCTACGCAGTGATGGTGATTGCAATGTGCCTGTTGGCTTAGGGGAAGAGGATGACTGAGCGGGCACTGGTGACACCAGTTTTGGAAGGGCAGCCTCCCACCGTTCATGGCAAAAGACTTCAAGGACCGCGCGCTGCTGATGCCCGGTCTGTAGAACTTGGATGACAGGATTTTTGTGTGCAATGTTTTTGACTACATGTCAGCTCTTGTACATATGGAATTCATCATACAGAGACCTGCTGTGCTCCACCATTTCGATGTTGTGCACAAGTCACCTGCTCAGCTGCCATCTGTGAGCCCCCGCAAGCAGTGGCAGCTACAGATGAGTACAGTAGGGTTGCATGACCACCTGAGTTCCCGGCGCGCTGTCCTGACGTTTGAAACTTACTCGACCTTGCTGTCCTGTCGGCAAAAAGACCAGGGTCCTGGATACCAAGCTGCTTGCAAATGCAGACCTTGGCACTTGAGCCAGTTTGCAAGCTTTGGCTCGCATGTAAGCACTGCGTGAGATGAAGCGTGGTGGCCACCGTTCTGCATGGCAGACGCAGACTTCACCTTGGCGACCGTAACCGGCCCGATCCGTTTGCTCGGGCGGGGCGCTTTTGGAGAAGTCTTCTTGGTTGGCACAGCGTCATCACAGGCGCATTGTTGCTGTTTGCCATCAAGACAGACGCTTAGCAGCATGATGTTGCTCAAAGACATATTGAGGCTGCTGCGCAGCATGGGGCTTTCTTAGCCACGAGTCCTGGAGGCATTTCATGCCCTGCAATGTACGTGCTGTGCGGACAGTCACTTGCCATTTCAGTGAAGCTTTGAACAAGGAAGCGTGTTCGCTTGAAGATGTCAGATGCCGGATGGGGCAAGGCAATGCTTGAAGCGGAACTTCTGTGGAGTATGAGCAAGGTGGGCGTGGCCCGTCATCCCTTGTGCTGCAAGGGGTAGAAGCTTCATTTGCAGAAGCATGGATGGTTCAAGATATCGCATGCTGTGCAGGAAAGCCCATACATTCTTCGTTGCTATGATTTCCGTATGTTGCAAGAACCGGTTCCCATGCTGGAGCTGTTGTTGGAGACGCTCGGCTTAATCTCTGCATTGCAGGGCTGTGCTTTCTTTTGATTCGCTGTCACTTAGGTTTGCCGCGCTAGGCGATCTTTGCCGGCGGTTGCGGCAGTGTAGGGAGGCATCGCATTGCCACACCATTCATTGGTACTGTGTTCTTCGGTGATGTGAGGCTGGCTCCGGCTGTCAATTGCCTCAACCTGAGATGCTGAGCTACACGCTGGATGTTGCACAGGGTTTGGCCTTTTTGTGGCTTGGCAGAATTGAGGGAGGTGGGTCCCAGGTTTTTTTTTTCCTAGGGTTGGCTCGGCTTGGGCTCTGGAGTTAGGGCTGGCCCCCTGGTCCCCGTGGTCCTTTGGTCCCGCA